AAGAGGATAGATCATTATACTTAGTGGTTTATTCATTTTACTCAAGGGGATAGATCATCGTACTCAAGAGGATAGATCATTATACTTAGTGGTTTATTCATTGTACTCAGGGGGTAGTCATTGTACTCAAGAGGATAGATCATTATACTTAGTGGTTTATTCATTTTACTCAAGGGGATAGATCATCGTACTCAAGAGGATAGATCATTATACTTAGTGGTTTATTCATTGTACTCAGGGGGTAGTCATTGTACTCAAGAGGATAGATCATTATACTTAGTGGTTTATTCATTGTACTCAAGGGGATAGATCATTGTACTCAAGAGGATACATCATTATACTTAGTGGTTTATTCATTGTACTCAGGGGGTAGTCATTGTACTCAAGAGGATAGATCATTATACTTAGTGGTTTATTCATTGTACTCAAGGGGATAGATCATTGTACTCAAGAGGATAGATCATTATACTTAGTGGTTTATTCATTGTACTCAAGGCCATAGATCATTGTACTCAAGAGGATAGATCATTATACTTAGGGGTTTATTCATTGTACTCAGGGGTTATTCATTGTACTCAATGGGATAGATCATTATACTTAGGGTTTTATTCATTGTACTTAGGGGATATTCATTGTACTCAAGGGGATAGATCATTATACTTAAGGGGTTATTCATTGTACTCAATGGGATAGGTCATTATACTTAAGGGGTTATTCATTGTACTCAAGGGGATAGATCATTATACTTAAAGGGTTATTCATTGCACTCAAGGGGATAGATCATTATACTTAAGGGGTTATTCATTGTGTTCAAGAGGGTAGATGATCGTACTCAAGGGGCTATCCATTGTACTCCAGGGGATAATCCTTGTACTCTAGGCGATAGATGATGCCTCAGATACTCCCTCCTCACCCCTCCCCCCCCCCCTTCATCAGTTGAGTCTGTGAAGGCCAGGGGGAGTGTGGTAAGGTTCACTGTACTCAACCTACAGTGATTTTGTCCTCCTTGCACTGGATGCCCGGGGTGCACAATAAACTAGGCCCCGCACCTCGCAGCTATTTCCGGGTCTCGTCAGTTACCGACCGGAGATGTATGTGACGAGCCAAATGGTGAAATTACACAATTACTTCGCTATTTTGGAAAGTAATTACTTTTTCGACATAAATATTTCCGAAATTTAGGGAAGATTTAACTGGGTTGTTTTCTAATATTGTCTACAGTAGTTGTTGTTGAGGCTGTGTTTACGTGAGGTTGTTTAATATTACCACACAATGTTCTTGACGAAAGATGTTTACTTAGAGTCAGTTGGCCGGAATGATTGATCAGTCAGTCAAACATTCAAATCAGTGAGTCAGTCAGTTAGTTATTCACTCAGTTGTGAGACTTTCAATAAATATTTGAGTGAGTGAGTAAGGAGCGAATGAGTGAGTGAGCGAATGAGTGAGTGAGCGAATGAGTGAGTGAGTGAGTCAGTCAGTGAGTCAGTCAGGACTGTAGTTGATCGAGCTGTTGACGCAACCAATAAATAAATAAATAACGTAATGTCAAGTGGTAACTCCTGATGGAAAGAATAAATAATTTATACATTACTCATACGACCATAAACTCAGGTCACACAAGAGTAACTCACCTCACTGGCCCTCCTCACCTCACTGGCCTTCCTCACCTCACTGGCCCTCCTCACCTCACTGGCCCTCCTCACCTCACTGGCCCTCCTCACCCCCACTGGCCCTCCCCACCCCACTGGCCCTCACCCCACTGGCCCTCCTCACCTCACTGGCCCTCCTCACCTCACTGGCCCTCCTCACCTCACTGGCCCTCCTCACCTCACTGGCCCTCCTCACCTCACTGGCCCTCCTCACCTCACTGGCCCTCCTCACCTCACTGACCCTCCTTACCTCAGTGACTTCGGAGAGAAATTAACACCTTTAACCCGGACTCGGAATCGGCATTATAATCTAGTTTTACATTTTAAGTAATAATTACATTTAACTATGGGATATCATTGAGTAATTACCTTTTGACGAACATATATAACTAAATAATTATATACACTTAAATTGGGTCATTACACTTGGAACATTAATTACCGTACTGCTCGTTTAGCCAAATGGGTCCAAGTTAGTTATTGATTGTTAAGTGATGAGGGTGATGGTCACTAGGAACTATTTATTGCTTCTATTGATTAAAGTTCGTTACCAATATGTGTGTGTGTGAGGGAGAGCGTGTAATGAGACAAAACTCACCAGAAGAGGATATTACATATAGGTAGAATATTTATAGTAGAAGGAATGTAAAGAGAGGAAGGTTAGGTAGCGTGGCCGGTTAGTTATTTACACTGTCAATACACTTATCTTATCTCATATGTCAATACAAATATATTACGTATCATGTATCACGTAGTACGTTCTTAAGGGACAACTTCTCAAACACCACTTCGATACAACTATTTATTAATTCACTCAATGACACGGACACATTAATATCAGTATTATATCGAAGTTCCTAGCACATTTTTACGTTACTCGACACTAACTCGGACACAATCATGAAAGGAATACACTTCCCACAGTAAGTAACTCACTCTAGGGATAGTTCTGACAAGACTCACATGTAACCTGGCGGAGGCCCAGTGGGTGCTGGCTGGGCTGCCTCCTATGGGAGACTCTGCTTAGCTGGTGACGCCGGGGGTCTGGTCGGAGAGTCCCCCTCCCAACCTGGGGAGGGGACGAGCGTGACTCTGTGCGCGTGAACAGAATGACGACCTGGACGGGAAAGAGAATGACCAGAGTGACAGAATGACAATCAGCCGAATGACAATGACGAATGCCCTCTTGGGCAGGACTGCAGGTTCTTTATATGGGGCCTCAACAGCCGGCGTTTGACCTCTGCCAAATAACACTAAACTGGTTAGATCTGGACAGCTGTGTTCAGGTGTGGTCATGCCCAGGTGTGTCTTGGAGGTGTGGTTGTAGGTCAAGTCCCCCGCTAATTCAAGTAATTAGCGGACGAGGTCAGGTCCCTTGGGTCCCGACCCAAGGTGTGTCTACCTGGTATGTGGTGGTACCACGAGGTCTGTAGTGTACTCACTGTTATATGTGTTGCAATTCTCTGGGCTGTCAGCTTTGGTCTGATATTCAATCATTACAAGTGGGTGGCGGGGGGGGGGGCTGGGTGTGTGTGTGTGTGTGTGTGTGTACATTCACTCAAAAAAACTATCTGTACTTGGAAGGATCGATGAATTTCAAGACCCTCTGAAGTGAGACATGTCAGTAGTGTGAGTATGTCGTCCAGGTGTGGTACAGGTGTTGACCAGGTGAGATATGAAATGTGGATTACTGTAAGGAAAAAAAAAGTTTACGTTGTTGACTATTGAACTGTTTTACAATAATCATTTGATGATATAATGTAACTGCCAAGAAGTACAGTAAAAATCTCTCATCGTTGATAACAGTGTGACATTTATTACTTGTATTAATTCATTATTATACGCTACAAGTCACATCACCTACCCGGCAATACACAAACTGACCTTAGAGGTATTAGGTTAGGTTAGGTTAGGTTACGTCTTGTAGAAAACTTTATTTACACAAATGTTGAAGTATATTTATGTTGTATTTTTCTCTATGATGAATTATACTGCCACTCGCCCACAAACACAAAAAAAGGTTTTAGATAATTAGCATAATTTATGTTAATCAGCTGAACCCATAGAGTAGCTGTGTATTTAGCAAAATCCAATTTGACCGCTGTATGACCTTTCAAGTTGAAAGATGGAAACATTTTTATTTTATTATTATTTGTGTAGCTCAATACGGCGTCAGCAGCAAGAGGCAACTATTCCTACCAAAAAAAAAAATTACGACCTGACTTAGTACGTGTGTGTGTGTGTGTGTGTGTGTGTGTGTGTGTGTGTGTGTGTGTGTGTGTGTGTGTGTGTGTGTGTGTGTGTGTGTGTGTGTGTGCGCGCGCCTCCCCCACCCTGGAGCTACATTTGTTGCTTTTTTGTGTCGAGGACCATTTACACCACAGCCACTGTCAAGGTTACGGTCTGAGTTATAGTGACCAAGGTCCAGGTTATAGTGAGCAAGGTCCAGGTTACAGTGACCAAGGTCCAGGTTACAGTGACCAAGGTGCAGGTTATAGTGACCAGGGTCCAGGTTATAGTGACCAGGGTCCAGGTTACAGTGACCAAGGTCCAGGTTATAGTGACCAGGGTCCAGGTTACAGTGACCAAGGTCCAGGTTATAGTGACCAGGGCCGTCCATATTACAGTAGGGTCCAGGTTCACAGTGACCAAGGGTCCAGGTTACAGTGCCCAGGGTCCAGGTTACAGTAACCAAGGTCCATAGTTGGTGCCCAGGGTCCAGCATACAGTGGGACCAAGGTCCAAGAGAGGTGACCAGGTTACAGTGACCAGGGTCCAGGTTACAGTGACCAGGGTCCAGGTTATAGTGACCAGGGTCCAGGTTATAATGATAAGGGTCCAGGTTACAGTGACCA